GCCAGTGTTATATAGGTTTTGAAAAAATATATATCCAGCAGTAACTAAGCAGACAATACTTAAACGAAATTTGAGGCAATGAAACGGATATAACATTAGCGGAAATCATTTTAACGAAAAAAAACAGTGGTTTACATTCACCAATAAAAGAAATTCGAAGAGTACGGCAATTTTACAGGCAGACGAATATCACCTGTACACATTCCCTCAGAACATATAAGCTGCTGCCCCAAATATTCAAATAAAGTGATTTTGTTAGACTAAACGTTAGACCAAACGAAAGTCTGTATTCCGATTTGATAACGCTTGCTAATCGCAAGTGTGATAACTCAATGCAAACTTACTTTGCACCCCTTCCCCACGCTTATCAAGTTTAGTAAGACAGCAGCTTCACAAAAAGTGAAAACATCCACAGTAAAATAACAAAAAATATGAAAACCAATTAAAGACATTACTTCAAATGCAAACTTCATTAGAAACCAAGCATAAAACGCCTGGTAAAATCCAATTAATTCTTCTAAACCCCGGAAAATTGGAAAATCATTGCATAACGGCGAAGTAAAAATTTAACACTGCGTGAACACAAATAAAAAATTCCTAAAAATGGTGAAAGGCATTTAAAAAAAACAAATTCAAAAAGCAGCAAAAGAGTGGAAAAAGTAACTAAATATACATATAAACTAATCTGTCTTCGCTAACACCAGTGAAAAAACGGCAAAAAGTAGCACTAAAAAGTAAAATGTCTCGAAGAAAACTTTTGTCAAGTGCCAGAATAAAAAAACTATGAAATGTAGATAAAGATTATCAAGTCCCAGCATCTGTCCCATGTTCGCTTATCATTAGGCAAACACTAGTCGTGAATAAAGCAGATAGAACAGATGTGAAGAAACTGCCAATGCTATGCAGCAAAAGTGCTAACCAATGAGCAGTTCTATTAGAGAGTTTGGTACAAAAAATGGATTAGTAATATTACCCTACGCTCACTAGCCTGATCGCATAATTGGGGACTTATTAGAACTAATTAAGCTGCCTCAACCTGTTTTCGAATTATTATTTAAACGAGTCGCTATCACGCAGATGAATACATAAAACGCACATAACTTAATCCAGTAAGTTTGCAAATTGAATAAATTCAAATCTCCAAAAATTTCGTCAAATTATTTCAGAGGAATTGCGTTTCTTTATTTGAAAAAAAGTCGATGATATCGCAAAAGAGTATAAGAATGTTCGACAAAACCTATTAATACAATAATTTGTGCAAGAAAACTACGCGACTTGCTTTTTAAAAAAGTAGACGGGTAATAGAACTACCTGTTATGTTGGAATTATCCTTCCGCCATTCGAAGACAGTAAGGGAAGATTTGTTCTTGGGATTTATATTCAGACCAGTTTCCGCAATTGTTTAGGTTTAACCAACGAAATTTCTACTATAACTAGACTGCTCGTATCAGGGTAAAGCCCTGAATGTTCCGACTGCCTTTTAAGGTTTATGGAGCAGTAATAACTTTAAAAGTTTCAATGAAATAAAACAAAATGAAATTTTTTTTTCAAAAAAATGAAAATTTATGAGAATCATCACCCCACAGGCCATATAAAGTACAAAAGTATAGATTTCGCTCCTTGTAACAAACCAATTATGGCAAATAAGCTATTTTTTAACCAATTTGGAACGATTTTTTAGACGGATTAACTTTCCGCTTACGCGTTAACAGCGCGAAATATATCGCGCTTTAATTGTCCCAAATTGGTCAAAATGGCAATCTTTAAACCCCCGTAACTTTACAAAAAATGATCACAGATGAAATATCTTTTCAAATTTGAGCTCAGGGCAACAATACCTTTCGAATGATATTTAAAAAAATTCCGTCAAAAATGGCTAGTTAAAAAGTCGAAAATTGTCTGAAGAAAAAAAAACCCACCCTGAGCACAAATATTCTGTTACTTTCGTATCGAAAGTCGGAACAACAAGAAACGAAGTCCCGCAATCGTAACAAAATTATATTTCATTTGCAATAAATTTTGGTGAATTTCTGAGAGCTTGAAAACAGCCAATTTCGCCATGTTCTGGACTAATTTACGCGCATTTCGAAGATTGTAATTATGATGTTGAATGCGTAACGCATTTCATTTATGCGTGGCTAGTTATCCCGCACTCACAATCGATCCAGATTGAAACGAGGAACGCTAATAGATATTTATGCCCTTTAGTTCAAACTTTAAAACCTGATATTCGATTTTGACATTCAAAAAATGCTGTGTTAAAATTTCTTTGGCGAAAACTATTCGAGAGACTAGTTGGAGAGCATTCGGAGAATTCAGGTGAGTGTCCTGATATACTGGCAGTCTCGTAACTAATTTATACTTGTTTCACAAAACGAGAAAACGAATACATTACAAAATGATTGAGCTGAGCGGACAAACTTTGAATCAGATATAGATACCGTTTGTATTAAATATGCATTTCGAACAATGAAAAGTCGGAACAATAATTTAGTTCTTATTCTTGCTGTAAGATTTAAATTAGATTCTACTTCAAACATTTCTACTTCAAACGTTATATTTTAGTTTCTAAGCTGAACATTGATTTGATCTATTCAAAATATGGTAGTCAATGTCGAAAATTTGCAAATCAAAATAGCTTGATTTACTTCTTCTTTTTGGGTCGTTTAATGCATAGTAACCCAACAAACTACTGTTACAGAAGTGAGTGCACGGAGCAATTCCTGCCTCCTTTAGCAACTGCTGTTGACTATTCTGTTGACCATTTTTCAAAAGAGGCGGTCTTTTTGCGAGATACGCCCTTTTCCTGCCAGCAGCAGAATTAGGATATGTTTTAATACAAAAGCAAAAGCCCAATTTAGAAAAGCTAATAATGAAAAAATGCAATTCATTGTAGCGAAAAATCTCAGAGGTCCCTACGTCTCCAAATTTAACAAAAGCGAGACTATTTAATTAAGCAATACTGAATCCTCGCGGCTGAACAAAATCAGAGGAAATCAACATAAATTTGGAAGCAGAGGCGAAAGAAATACAATGAATTTCTTGTGAAGAAGTCGATTAAACGCTGGTCTTAACATCGCGAAGCAGAAGCTGTGCACAGAAACTAAACGCATAAATCTGCAAGGTCGGTTTAAAAAGGCCCAAAAAAAGCAAACGTTTCACTTATGTTGCAAGAGTTTACACAGGAGCGAAGCTCCATTTCGTAAACAAGGGGGCTACGCGAAATTTCTCTGCCAATCAACGCCCTGCCCTTTAAACTGTCCAAAAAAAACTGGCTGAATTTATAATTCGGACTTTTTAATACTGAGCGCTAATTGGTTGACAAAACTTTCGCTCATTCGATCCTTCACGCATGAAGGATTCCACCATAAACACAGCTTCAATAACGTCGAAAAACTTCTGAAACAATTCAACAACAAATAAAATTAATGCAAAACAGCCAAGAGACAGTAGGAAAAGAGTCATATATGCTTCCAATAGCTTATTTAAGCTTAATTTGAGCAGCGAAAACTTAGGTTTTTATCCAGTAAAAGTAGTTTCTGGAGTTTTAAGCGCAATTTTGGGAATAAAAAACTTAAAACTTCGAAAAAAAAGTTTCAAAAAACTTGTGCTACTTGTACAGTAACCGGTTATCCTTGTTTTCGTTAGTTTTTTGTTTTCCACGCAAAATCAGGTACCGCAAATAATCATCGGAACCCAGTGAGTAATATATCATATTTAAGCCATTTTAGTTGTGATTGGAACGACATTATTAACCTCTGAACCAATTTTCTGTGTTGAAAAAAAAACGGTTTGAAATTTACAATTTTTGGTAAAATAGAAAACTTTCTGATAGAATTAACCCAATAGTACTCGACCCATTCCGATGATTAGTTGTCGTACTGATTTTGCGTGGAAAACAAAAAAACTAAAACACCCGAATACAAAGTTGCAAACTGTCTAATTTCGAGCTAATAAGGTGAGCGTACAGGTTTAAAATCTTAGGTTTAAAACCGTGAGTTTTTAAGCGCCAATTTAGGACTCAAAACCCAAAAAAAATCTGCAAAATTTTTTTTTAATTGAATTTTTTTTGAACTTTTCTAACAATTTTTTTTTGTTTTTCTAGTCTATTTTCGTCGTAAACTGTTTTCCAGTAGGCCTTTTTTTACTATGTTGGTCGGATATGCCTAAGTTCTATTTTTAGACCAGTAATATCTATCACACCACCCAGAAAGAACTACTGAAATTTGAAAGAAAAACTTTTTCTTTGTATTTTTTTAAGACTATGGTCGGAAAATTCTGTACTACTTGCACAGTAACCGGGTAATCTTTTTACAATTGTAATCGGAAAACTAATTTTCCACCAATTGTTCACATGCATTAGAACGTATACTTGAGGTCAAACCGCAAAATTCAAACTGCGTCAAATCGTGAAATGAGTCAAACTGCAACAAAAAATTATAGAAAGAACAAATTTTGATGAAAAAGCAAGAAAACCACACAACTTAAACAGCTTTAGTTAATACAGAGCTTGAACTAATTTTCAAAACCACTATTATAAAAACCGTCTCTTGTCTCTAACGACCTTCAGTAACGTAAGTATATCCAACACTCGGAAAATGTCAATAAATAAGAAAACCGTAAACTTTTTAGAGGATGTTTTGTTTCTTTTTAGCAAATGAATTTGAATTGAAATTCAAAATCAAAAAACGAAATCGTAAAAATCATATACCAGCAAGAAAAATTTTTAGTGACTTCTAAAAAATCCAACATGACCTAAATAAGACTCTATGATTCCAGATTGTTCATTGCTCTCTAAAATTGTTCATTGTCACTTAAATACAGATATATACATCGAATTGCTATAACGAATCAAAGAACTCGCATTTTGTTCCTTTACTGTGCGGATAAATCTTACCACAAAAAACTTTTGACACCAGCAGTTCAAAAAGCAAAATGATACTTTTTGAATTGCACGATTTCAGATTTCTCTCTTTTCGTTCTGAATAGGTCGGCAAAACTTTTGATTTAAAATTTATTCGATCTGATCTGAACTACAAAACGGTAGATTTTACGTAACTAAAATTACAAATGAAAAAATTATTAAATTTCCAAAGTCACATTATATCATACAAAGTCAAGTGACTTATCATCTTCTGAATCAAAAACTTGATATAAAACTGCGTTACCTTGGAAAAGGTTTTTCGAGGTTTTTGAGTTTCGCTGACTGGGGGCTAAATCCCGATTCTGAGGCGGTAGGCTATTTACATGCCTTGATCTGGTTATAGCTCTTGAGTTATTGCGCTTCTCGACGGAAGAATTGTACAAAAAGCTGCCTTGCACTTGGACAACCGGGACTGTCAATTGAGAGCTCTTGATATTGGCGAACGACTCCAGCTCTCGTCGCCTGTTCTCGTCTAAAAAGGAGGATTTTCGAGCGGGCAGTTTTGGCCTCACTGTCGGGTTGCTGTATTTGTATTGATTTTCAGGAAACTAAACAATCGAAAGTTACAGATAGAAAATTTAAATTAACAGCAAGTTCTTATTTTCCCGTACAAACAATTTAAGTTTACTCCAAGCCAACTATATAGCTATTCGAACAAACCTTTTTTCTTTTCAATTCAAAATTTTAGATAGATACAAAAACTTGAGATTACAAACGAGTACAAACTTTGTTAGGATCACGGCCTCTCGAATAGTTGACGCTGTTGTTATTAAGCTGCACTGGCGGGGTATTTTCGTTGTACATCACATCATGAGCTGTTGTCCCAATACCAGAGTCAAAACTCCTTCCTGATGGGGATGTGGCTGGGTTAGTAGTGCTACTACTGCTACCCGACGTATCAGGTCCAATTTGACCAATCATTGTTTCTTTTTTGTCGGACAACAACCCGAACTCGGGTGGGAGACTATGGGCGTTTTTCCTTCTCGCTATAAAGGAAGACCGCTTTGGAGACGTATTTGCACATTGGTTGATATCTGTATCGGCATCCAATAGAGGTGATTCTGCTTCATTTTCAAGATCAATTGTCAACGAGTCATGTCGGGCTTTAACTAAAACAAAGTGTTATTCGTGAAAACAGAACAAAAAAGGAGTAATAAAAAGAGGCCTTCCTTCAACAATAAGCTCGCTTTTCCCAAACCGGGTTATCTTGTGACAAAAATTGTTAACGGCACACGTCACTCAGAATTTTTTTCCACAATTCTTCTCCAAAATTCGAACCTACAATTTCGTTTTACCTTCAGTACTTTTCCGAATTGTTTTGTTGGATCACAAATTGCATAACAAGTATCAGTTCAAATTCCCTCGTAAGTTGTGAAATAACCTTATTAACTCTTTTGGAAGTCCCCGAGCGCTAACTTTGTACATTTAAGATAACACTTTTTCGTACCTTTGATATTGATAAGCTTAATTTGCCTTCCATTTGGTAATTTAAGTCGGATCATCATCCCCCCTAAATGACAAGCTGAAATCAAATTTTTGTTGCAAGATGGACAAATATTATTAAGAAATGCTGGCTACCAATCTGGCGCAGGCCAGTACGAAGAAATCTTTATCTAATTTAGATACTTTTCCAGTTTTTTTGGCCGCTTTCTCTATAAATTTCACACACACACAAGTCCAAATGCGTTCTTAATCGCCGTTTAATTACCAATTTTTAGGTTTCGGACTTGATTTAAGGCTCTCGATTTCTATCTTGTTTTGCAGTGAAATCAACCAAATTTTCTTTTTTCGAATTTAGGTGGGGGGAGGGGTATAACCGAAAAGACCAAGTGAACTTTAATTTTTAAAAAAAAAACACAAAAGACAAACCACTGAAATAAACATTTGAACTTCAAAAACTTCTCTTTGAATTTCAAGGACAGCTTGTGATTGATACCTTTTTGATGAAATTAACCCAATTTAAGAAAACTGGATCAATAGATAAAGTTTTTATTCCGCTGAGAAATTATAATACACTTTCGAAACTAAAAATCGATCACGTTTTTCGTTTTTTTTGCGCCATTTCTACTTTCGTATTTGGAGAGGGCAATTTACTTACTTTTAGCCGATAAATTTGAATTGAACTCAAAAAGTGAATATATACCTAAGTGCATTCATAAATGCGTTAATATGTATGAAAGCATATCTGTTGTCATTAGAGCATTTGAAACTTTTCCTGACAAAAACTCACCAAACAAAAAGACGTATATCAGAGTCTTCACTAGGTTCATTGACATTAAATTACCGCCTCAAAAAGAATCGCTTTCCAAAAAAAATTTAATTGACTCTTTCGATACAATAAAACAAATTTGAGAATACTGCATCAGAAGAAAACTGCATTTCAAAATTTATTTTCATAAAATTTTCATGTTTGTTTTAGATAAGTTCTTCAACCTCTAAACGAGAGCGAGATACTACACTCAAAATGAAACAAAGGATATGTTAATTTGCGTAGCCTAATAAATGAATGCCAAATCTACTTACTCTGAGCGGCCGCTCTGTCAAACTCATCTTTGATCATTCCCCAGAAGTCAGAGAAGAGGGCTTCTTCGTTTTCAATGATCAGTGTCAGTAGTTTCTTCACGTCTGCTGGATTTTTTGTCTAAAGCAATCACCTTTTTGAAAATATGAAACACCATCTGGTTGCGTTACCAAAAGCTGAGTTAAACTTAAAAAATGACCGTACAATTTTACAGTTTGCGGGAATCAGCAACGACCAGAACTTGAAAAACTCAAATCTTTTTATACGACCAGGACTTTTTAAATTCTTCTCCCTCCTAATAATAAGAAGTCTAGAGGCACTGGGAAAACTTTATTCCATAACAAAAAAAACAATCATGAAATATAGATTTTTTATTATATTAGGATAAATACTGACTGCTGCATGCATTTTGAAAAATAACAGGTTATCACAATGAATTATTTCATTTTGAGAACCAGCTTAAAGGAAGCTTTGCGCCTTATTGAATCTGTGTTTGTTTTTAACTAACACTCGACTTCGACGGATGAATCATCTCCTGACTGGCATCTTTGAACATGGAGGGCGCAATGCAGATGGCGAGACTCTCCACACTAAGTCTCCTCTCTGTCTCCAGCACCATCTGACCCCTGATGACCTCTGAGAGGACGAAGATGACACGGATGAGCAGTTGATAATTCACCACTGGGATGTTCAGAAGGGTTCTGCAATCAAAATTAGTCAGATAAGACACACCTGAGCAGTATTGACACTATTTTAAAAAAATACATTCGACTTTCTTTAACAATTTGACGTCAAGTTATGAAGGTAACATTATTTCGGGATATATTGTGACATAGTATTACTTATACAGAATCACAGACTAAAAAGTAAAAGTTAAAATTACTTACTCTTTTAGGGAAAGAAACCCTTTCGCATATACTTTGAGCAACTCCTTAGTCGGATGACCGAATACACCTCCAGGAAGATTCTGCAGGAAATCCTTCAGAGTGTCACACAGGAGATATGGAGCTAATTCAGCCGAGAGCCAATCTTCAGGCAGATCTCCCAAATCTAGCTGACCTTTGAACTCCGATTTCTTCAAGTTGGAACAGGGTGTTCTAAACACGCCTTGTACAGACGGACACTTGATGTAAATGGCATAGAGCAGCTCCTAAACAAAACTTTACTATAAGAAACAGCTCAAAACAGATGAACCGTTCTTTCTGTTAGTGAATTTAATAAAATCTTGCTCTTAAATGTTTGTTATTGAGATCAATTTCCTGAAATAGTGGATCTATTATCATCTTCAATAATAATAGATAAAACGTCCATCTCAGTTTCGATTTAATCTTAAAGGCAAGTATTGGAAAAACCGATCGAAACTATCTTAAAGTTTGATGTCATTTGCCATTATTGACTTACTCTGATGGCAACGGGTGGGTACGTATTGACGCAGATCTCAGTCAGAGGTCTTCCAAATATTGCTAAAGTATTTACACCCAGGTCAGCCACATCCACTCCAGCTGAAGCAGAGTTGTTGTTGTTGTCATTCGGCTGATACAGGTGCAGTCCATGAGAGTTTTTCCGCTTGCTCATTGAGACGCTTCCCGGGATCAGAGCAGACATCGAAATCTTGCGAGATGATGGTTTGTCTAAAATGAATAACACGCAATTATGGAGAAAAACTTTGACCTATTTATCCAGGATAGAAGGGCTAAAAACAAGCAATTCAGCTCATTAAGATGCACCACTGATGAACACCTGGTTAACAGCTACTCAAATCTTTGGCCAAACTTTTGATTTTTGGTTGAACTATGCGAAAATTTCATAATTCAGGACGACCTCTCCCCAAATCGTTCTAATCAGTAAAGAAGGCGACGCTCAGTTACTAACCTTTACTTTTCGGGTGATCTGTGGGATGTTTTCCATATTTGGTGATGTAGAGATGACAAGGTGAGAATGCGTGCGACTTCCTTTTAGCATATGACGAATAGTGTTCAAAGCAGTGACGGATAATTGGATATAGACGCTCGAAACCTTAAACATGCAATAAACACTCAATTTCCTTAAAACACTTGGAGCGTTTGGATTTTAAATCCAGCGATAAAGGTTTTGCGTCCCTTGTGGGGCGACGATTTTTGAATAAGTTTTTCATTTTTGTTGAACCATTATTGTTTTCTGTAAGAAGTGAAACGAACACAATCTGAATAAGAAGCGTTTCTGACCTTAGAAGCTAAAAGCGATATGATCTTCCTCAAGAAATTTCAGATTGCATTTATCTCGGTAAGAAAAGCAAAATCTAAACTTATTTTGTACTTATCGCAAATCGGAAAGTTCTCTACCTTCAAAAAATCTCTACCTGCACAATTTTTTAAAATAAATGGACAAATTGCGCTCTAACCGTGCAAAGAGAGATAACAATCGGAATCTTTCTTGCCGAATCTGACCCAAGCACAGCAGGGAACATGGCTTGAAAACTGGCACGTATCATCAATCACTTCGTCTACTCTGGTAGAGATGCCAACGTGTATTTCCGACACCACCGGACTATATGTCATATTCTGGTTTTGATTGCCAGAGCCGCCAGAAGCATTCGAATCCACAGGAGAGTTTGAACTGGGTCCCAGTTTAGAGGTAAACTCATTGTGGACTATCAATGGAAGGTACTGATAGACATCCATTTCATTCCAGTGATTCGGAACCCTTAGAAACTTCAAGTCACTTCGCATTGCGTCTTCGTAGCACTTGAAAAAGTTATCCAGAAAATCCTCTTTCCAGTTTTGGCTTTTGAAAATGAATTTGACGTTGATAATTGGCCAGCCAATCAGAATTGAGAGATCGGTCGTGTCATCGACCAAATTTTTGGACCCAGAGTAGGAGGTGGGAGCAGCTGCTATCCAAACATCAGAGACAGGGACTTCGTGCTCAACTTTTAGCAGTTTCTCACCCCCACCCGCGACATCCTGCGTATTTCTGTGAAACATGCAATATGAGCCAACTGCTTTATTCACCACAAGATTACCTGAGTCGGTATTGTGAGACAGGTAAAAAAAGACAGGCGAATAGCATGTGTGCCAATTGGAATGCGCAATTAGAATAATAAACTTTGGTTTCAAAGGCGGCATTGGCAAAAGCGGACGGTTGCTCCAATCTACTTAAATGAATCTCGAGTGGTATAATGCATGTGAATCAATGTTTGCCACGTAACTAGATTGGTTTGCATTGAAGTTGTTGCAACGGTTAACTCGCGCCAGGGCAGATCGAGGATTTTCGCGAGGGGTGGAATTTTCAAAAAAAAATTCGAAATTTTGTCGACCTGTTTTTTTAGGTCGATCAAATTAATTTTCTGAGCTTTCCCACCAAATCATTATAAAGACCCCATTTTGTCCAAATTTTCTGCGCCGCTGGATGTCCTAAAATAGCACCAAAGGAGGCCCCTTGGGTCGGCGTTGGATAGAACACCCCCTCATCAAAAAAACCGCCCCTGTCTCGCGGTGAAATATAATTGCCGCATTCTTATCATCAGCACGCATAACAAGACGGTCCAAGCTATTACTCTTCAGTACGTAATTCGTGGTGGTCGAAAATTACCAGGGGCTCGGTCACTTTTCGAAAAAAAATGGGGTTTGAAAATATCAGGGTGGTCCCGCAACTTTGGAACAATTCTGAAAAATGTAATGGTTAAACTAAGCCAAAAATTGTCTGGAACATTAAAATTTGCAAAAAATGTTATTAAATTCCAGACGACAGAGACGAGCGTTGAAAAACAGTTTCCGGCGGAGTCCAATCGTTCAGTATTCTAGGGGGGCTGGGATCTATAAAGCAGTCGATTTGGGTTGCGGGGTAGACCCGACAATTAAATAGTGCTGAGTACAAACAGATAAAAGATAATCAATATTAGAAAGTTCACAGTTCTGAATAATTTTTGAAAGAAAATAAACAAAAGCACTTGGAACAATCAACCAGATGGCTTTTAAGACCGTTTAAAATAAGCATTAAATCAGAAAATCAAATTAGAATGAAAGCTGACAAAAAATGAGGTGGAACGACAACGACGACTGTAGTGAACGATGGCAAATCCAACAAGCTGTGATTTAGAGCACAAAGGCGAAACAGAGCTTCGTAAAACAAGTGATACAAAAAATAAGAAACTGATCGAAAAATTCAAAATATAGTTGTATCAAAAAATATATACGGAAAACTAAAAAAAAAAAACACAAAACAATCAATTTTCAAATAATTAACTGAAATCTTATTTAAATTCTGGTTGAAAATTAAGCACAAAATCAAAAATCGCACATAATAGTATATTTTGTTATCAAATAAAATCAACAAAGAGATGGAAAAGGTTCGGAAACTAAGCAAAGAATTTCAACCAGATTCATGAAGAAGTTCTCTATTGGATATCCAAGTTAGCTTGTGGTACCTTAACCGAAAAAGTTAATCGAAACCTATGCCTATTTTTTATCCGCCAAATGTTTATTTTGCAAAAAGTATGATTACAGAATTGGAAGCACAACATATAGCACTAGACAAAATATATTGGACACAGTTGTAATTCTAACTGCGTTTGCTTTATATTTATGAACATGTTTTCATATATGAGGTTGTCAACAAAAAAACTGAATTCGTAAATTAAAACAAGAAAAAAACAGAAAAAAAAACAATGGACTTCTACTGCACAAATTTCAACTTTCGAATTTTGTAGAAAAATACTTCCTGATAAAGCCTTTTTAAAATTAAGAGTGTCTACAGGCAGTTGGAAAAAGGTCATGAAATTCAGAGAAATGGAAAAGTCAATGAACAACCTTTAATTTTGAAGTTTCGGAAAAAAAATACTTCAAGCTAAAGCTCTTTTTTAATTCAAGCAGCTCTATTCTTTGCCACAACATCAATAGAGCATTTTCAATTTCCGCGAAGATGTTTATGGAGAATATGTCAAATACCCTGTTACAATGCTCTCACTAATCGCAAACGTAAACACAGAGGCGAAGCTGCGCCTCGCAAACACTAGAAAGAACACGAAAAAAAACAGCTTTATAAAGTGAAATCAAAAAAATACAAGTAAGCTTCGAATTAGTAAAACTTTAATACGTATCGAATTAGAAACGACAACCTCGAGATTTAGAACCTCACTCCCTGCCCTCTCGACCAAAAACGCTTAGCAATCAGCAAATATTAGTCAGAAATAAAGCAGCTACATATGCTAATAAATTACTAATGCGATGCAGCCAAAGTGTCAGCAAATACGAAAAGACACAATTTTGCATGATAATTTGGAATAATTTTGCATGATAATTTGGAATATAACAAAACTGAATGCATCCACGTTAACTTTGAATCTAATAAACTCTAAAGCAACAAGCCACATTCTATAACAAATGCATTTCAAAAAATTACGATTTATATTGTGTTGGAAAATTTCTGAAATCAGGTTTTTATCATTAGGTTGTTTGAAATATATAGCTTTTTTGATTCATTTGATGATTTAAAAATGCATAAATTGTTAACTATCAAAAAACCTTAACACCAAAGGCCACCAATATTTGCAACTTAAGGTTAGACAAAAAGAAGAGTCGTACTACTACAGTACGCTCACTAAAATTCGCAAGTGTAAAAAAAACATATAAAGCTTGGTGAAGATAACTGCTAAATCAGCATCTAAGGAAAACGATTTCAAGCAAAATAGCACTAAAAAAGACATTTAATGATTGAGTTTTAATTGTTTTGATTTAACTCATGCTGTTTAAAACGGCAAACAGAAACTGTGCTAGAAAAAAGCTGCACAAATTTCTTGAAGGTACCGCGACAACTCGCATAAAAAAATTGCAAAACTCAATGAAAGTGACAAGTCTCAATGGTTGAAAATTAATTTAAAACTTAAGATTCCCGGCTTTATGTTGCCGGTACGCACTTTACAAGCGCGTCGCGGCAGTAACCGGCTCCGTTAGTCCTACCCTCTGTTGGCAAGCTCACAATACGTAAGCGACTGCGGCCGTAAGTATATTTCGAGATGTCTATTAACGCGTGATGTCTTTTATTGTGAGTTTCATTGTTGCGAGATGTCGCATTACGTTTCTAGCAATAGTGGCTTGGTGATGTAAAACAATCTACACTTGCGTAATCATATGGTACACAGATGCGAAGCTGCACTTCGCATCGAATAAAGACAACAGAGTTGAAATCAACAATTTCAAGAAAAGAAGCATTAACACAACTAACATGTTCTTGCAAAATTAATTTCGATTGCAAGGCAAGTTAAATGCAACCATCCTAAGCTGTTAATCAGAGCCAAGAAGCAATTGAAGAAACGTCAAATAATCAAAGCACGAAAACTTAGCCAACAGACAGTTGGAAAAGTCATTGAACGCAATTAAACAAGAAAAAACATACCGAAGTTTTTTTTTTAAACTCAACTTTCGAATTTCAAAGAAGAAATAGATGTGCTTCAAGCTCGTTGAATTTCAAAAACAATTTTTGTTTGGGACTTTTTTTGATAAAATTGACCCAATGTGAGACAACTAGATCAATAGATAAATTTTTTTACTTCGGTGGAAAATCTATCTGAAAATTAATTTCCGCTGTCTAAACCAGAAGTCAATCACGTTTTTCGTGACCTTTACGCTTTTGCAGTTCAATAATGGAGTTTGCCTTCCTTTTAACTGAACTTTACGAAGAAAAAAAGGAAATTAACTGAACTTTAAAAGAAAAAAAAGCAAACTACGAAATAGTACGAGAATTTGAGCCTGAACAAACTTAAGACTTTTCCTGCGAAAAAAACGGTAAAAAAATCGATCATCACCACCTATATAAGAGTCTAAACTGCGTTCATTGACTCTTAAAAAAACAAACTCTAACAAAAAAGATAAAGCTCTGCGAATTTCAGAAACCTTTCATGATAGTAATTTTTTTCATAAAACAAATCCAATTAGACAATATAGGTCTACAATTAGTTTATTATTCCGCTGGGATATCTAAAAAGTTAATTCGACAAAATCCAACGACCTATGTAACATTGTATGATCAACACATAAAAAACTAGCCTGATTAAAAACAACTAGCCTTTCAGCAAATCACATTGAATTCAACTAAAAAAAGAAATCAAAGTCAAATCGCCAAAAGTAAAATTGGAACTTAATCAAACTTTAAAACTTATCCTGAAACAAAAATCAAATCGGTTTATACAAGAGTCTTCATTTCGTTCATTAGCTTTTAAAGACTGGCTAAAATTTAAAGCTAAATCAATTACGTTGAATCCACTTTTGCAATAACAAAAATGAGCAATTTTCATGAGAACTTTTCAGGTTAACTGGTTCCAAAATCTATTCAGGTTAACAAAAATCAACCAGGTATGCTCAAAGATTAATCATTATGTTGTGATGGTATGGAGAATAAAAACTTACAAGATTTTTGCGATGACCATTTTGTAATTGTACAAATACAGGTAGCAATCTGTGATTGTGTTCTTATGGACAAGTTTAATCGGTGCGTCCATTACGTAACTACCGCCGCTGTAAAACTGGGAATCTGCAGGATCATCGACCATTTCGGGAGTCCCAACAGCCAACATTTTATTATGTGTGATATCACTCAAATCCGAGAGACTCTTCGGTCGATTCTTTTTATTAAGCGCGCGCTTTCTCAGATTCCTACGAGGTGCCGCACTTGCACTCTGGGGGTTCCTCAGAGGGTTCTCGTCTCTGCCGACGACTCGCGAGACTCTTTGAAACTCATTCGTATCTGTGCCACTTTGTAACACATTGTCCTGAGGAGAATCGGTCTGAAATAAAGCGAGTTCCAGCAGATAGTCTATTTTCATGAGCGCCATTGATAGATAAATATTAAACAAAGGCAAAATGAAAATAGACAATTGGAAATTTATGGTAAATATGACAATAAGGGCTCAATTTATTTAACGGCCCAGTAAGCAAAAACCTGTATATAATTGAGGAAACGCAGTATGATTGAAGTGCGTCTAATTTAAGGGAACCACTTAAACTGAAAACAGTATGTTCAACTCCCCTTCACCTACGTACCACATAGCAGTACTTGGCAATGAAACGCTACGACCAATCACGTGTTGCTCAAGTCAGAATTTATCTGTTAAGCTTTCCAAAACTACCCCGTGGAAATGAAAACAAGGTTCAATCAAAGGACTTGAAGGAAGGAAAACAAGAGTGCGAACTTAATAGAGACAAGATTTAATTGGTCGGTGAACGCTCGTTAAAACTTGTCAAAATTTTACCTCCAAGGTTCCTGGTGCATTTGTCAAAGAAGAATGTTCTATGTTCACACTTTTAGATTGCCTCCTGATCACTCTTTGGGCAACTTTTGGCGGTTCTGTTTGTCGATCCTGGGCTAGTTGTGACTGGGATTGCACCGGAATCGATCGCGGTTTCAAATTACGGTGGCCATTGTCTTTGTCCTCAATCTAAATAAACTTGCAATTTTTCCCAAAAACAACTGCATATGTCGATTGATAAAAACAAACTATCTTTTTCTGTGTTAATTGGGCAATTTTGGTAGTTCGAAAGCAAAAAACATAAAAATCGTTGGCTGCTTGTTGAGTTACAATGAAAGATTGAATAATAACGGTAATGCGAATGATTGTGACCAAATTACACAGGCCCGGTTCTGTTTTGTTGTATTATGACAATGGCAAGCGTTATATAACTTATTATTAATCTCGCACCAAAATTAGTGGAACATTGAGCGAACAAATAGTGTTTGATGGTTTCAGTTTGATCGCATCAGATAAGGATTAAATATGAACGAAACAAACCGTAAGTGAGCCAGGGACCCCATTAATAGGTTGATTTTGAGTCAGGGGCAATAATGCTTCGATGCTCCCTTAATGTCGTTTCACTCCTTCCTCCCATTGGCAAAGAGGCAATTTATGTCGATTGCATTTTAATCTAGGCCACTATCTCAATCAATATGAGAAATAGTTGAATTTCAGCTCAACCAAGCAACTAGGCTTTATGATAACTACCAAACGCCCGAATGGAATTCATGCAGAGCTTTCAAATTACTAGACAAAGCCCTGAGAAAGAGATGAAGTTGAAAACAAAGCAATCGGAATGAGCACTGTCAAGTAGAGAAAGAATTATCAGCTATTCAATTCACTGCATTGTCAAAAGAAATGACAAATTAGGGTCACGATGCGACTTCAAAGAAGAAATGATTGCTTCACAGAGTGAATTAAAAACGGGACAGTCCATGTCCACATTAATGACATTAATGCAGAAAAGTAAAAATAAATTGGTTAAGAAAATGAAGCCAGTGAAACAAAACTGACCAACCAAGCTCCGCCTAGAAGGTAAAAAAAAGAAATCTGAATCGCAGGAAGCATCTGACTAAACTTTATTCAATAAAAAATAATCGAATAACGGTTATTTTTCCGGTTTGGAGGAAGTAAACAAAAATTTGTGCTGGGATTTTTTGTTAATATCAGACAACGATTGGCATCTCATTTCTTGGCCTTGGCGATAATAGCAACAAAAAAGATAAGTAATGGTCAATAGGGGTTGGAAAAGTTTAAAATAAGAAAAAAAAAGATCTTTCAAAGCTTAAAAAATTGGCGTCATGATCACCTAAATTTACCCCAGAAATCGTTTTACACTCAGAGGCGAAGCTGAGCGTCGCACTACTTGCGATACAATTTATAGAATGACGCTAAAAATTAGCAAACAGAAGTTCGAACTTTGTTATAATTGAAGAAGGAAGGAATTTTATGTAACGCCCATATAGGATCAACGATAGCTATATAAATAGCAAATGCAAAATAGGCTACATAATTTGGAAACTAAACAGACAGAGCTTAAGTCGACAACTAAGAAGCCGAAAAACCATCAGTAGAAAATTATCAAAACTCTATAATTATACATAGTAGTTTGAGTTCTAGATATAGCGAGTAGTAACTAGTACCCGGTAATTAAATTTGAATTTTCATGAACCTGAGCAGGTCAGCAGCATGGCAACTTCATAAGTCATTCAACTGATTTTGTTAAACTAGTTGTGAATCCGAAAAAAGTCTATACTCCCATTTGATAACGCTAGCTAATCGCAAGCGTAAGAAGAAAACTTATCAAAATTTGATTTTGGGCTATGTTTAGGAAATGCATTATTACAGAAATTTGAAAAAAAGGTTAAAAAAGGCCATTTGATTTCAAATAAATTTAAAAAAAGCAAGCTAACGTAAACCAATTTCTGAGAAAATATATATATTTTTTCAAATTGACCTCGCCGCTTTCCAGGAAAAACATCAGACGAAAACCCGAAAAGTGAAGATGTCTTAATTTGATGAAGTTTTAAAAAAAATTAGGATGAACAGAAACTCAGATTAACTGCTGTTCTAATTAGGATCAAAGCAAAAACCTAGAATAGAACAAACAAAATAGGCTCACTCCAAACAGCACGTTGCCTTATAATTTTGGTTATTGCCTGAAACAAGAACGACAAGAAACCAGATTCCTCAAATAAACAAAAATAACAAAAACCAGAAGCTGAGCAGATTAAAAACCAATTTTAAACTAAAACAATAACTGTATAATTTAAAATAAGCTAACCAAAAAAAAATATTGACTTGTTTTTTTTATAAAACGTCAACTTTCGAAATTCAAAGGGAAAAACATATCGCCTTATAATTGTCGAATTTCAAGAAATAAAACTACTTCTGTGTGCCGGAAACCAACCTCTGACCTCGAATATAGGAAGTTCGCACATCCTACCATGTGCGCCACAATCAATTGTAGTTGTACTAACAGTAGCCACCACAGAGCAGCTAGAAATGCTGTTAAAATGCCAATGCTTGAAAATACGCCAAAATTGACACCAAATAAGCACTTTTATTTGCGAGTTGGAATGGAAAAACTGATTCGCAATAAAACACTACGCTCGTTAGCTGGCTTGTTTAAAAACTGTCGATCGGAAAAATACACGCTTTCTTTTACATTCCGCGATAATTGTTGTAAGAAAATCACATGCAAAGGTAGAAACACATCAAAGGGCATGCTATTAAACTAAAAACTCAGAAATTTTAGGCAATGTCATTTCTGAGGAAATTCAGCCCCAATACAAAAATCGAGAAAACATTCGAAACAAAATTCACGCAATTTGTACACAGAGGCTAAGCAGAGCTTCGTGCCTCATGCGATACAACAGAAACATAAGTCGAAAAAGAAAAATAATGGAAAAAAAAACAAGATGAACCAAAAAGTGCATGTCTCGATAAAAGATAACTCGAGGCCCAGCTGAAGCGGGAAAAAGCTGTTTGATAATTTTGAAAGTTGTTCTACTGATGCGGAATGAAATGGGTAATTTCAAAAACTGGACTTTGAGTTGTTTCTCTACTGAAATAATTAAGACTAAAAACTTTTAACATTTTTAGTCTCAAGACATAACTTTTTTTAAACAAAAAATAAAGCAGTTGATTGAGTCCTTCATCTCAGATTTGATAGGGCAGTTACTAAGAAAAGTCAGAAAGATTCTAAAAAACGGTCAAACAATCAAGAAATTGACATTCAGATCGAAGGCCGTGGACACTCGAGCAGAGAAAACTTCTAAAACCTGTTTTCTCGAGTGAACTCAGCTTAATATTAGGCAAAGTAGTTTTGCGAAAAACAAAAATTTCAAAAAACGGTTAAAAAATCTGTTTTCCGAGGCCCATATTTTCGTGTAAATAAAATCAGGCCGACCGCATTTGCAAAAAAGCTTTTTAAAAATTGGTTATTTGGATTGAAACCAAAATCTCCGCTTTGGGCTGGTAGTTTTCGAGAAGTCAAAATCAAAAAACGGTCAAAAATTCAAATATTTTACTATTCCGAGGGTCATAACTTTGTGTGTCTGAGCGTAGCCGCTTATACAGGGAAGCTTCCAACAACCCCTATTATTCATTCAACCCAAATCTAACATTTGCGACAGTAGTTTTTGAGAAAATGAAACTCCAAAAAAATGGGTTAAATTATCCTCGCACAGACTCTTTCGAAAGCTGTAGGCAGGAGAGTAAAGTAAAAAGACACTAGGGGATTATGCAGACGAGGAATTGCCAGTCTTCCAATTGATATTTTTGAGAAAAGAACGAGTAATTTTCTAGCGAACTGAAAACTTTGCACAAAAAAAATCGAAAGTATCTCATAAAAAGTAAAAATTAACAAAGCCAATCGAAGATTGGAAATGAGTAATGAATGCAAGTAATCATAAACAAACTCTGACTTAGTTTTAAAACTTTCGAATTTCAAAGAAAAAAATTGATGCCCTTTAAGCTCTTTGAAGGTTGTCGCTGTTTTGATAAAATTAACCCAGCTTGAGAAAACTGGATCAACAGGGAAACTTTTCATTTCAGTGGAAGTCTAAAAGTTAATTCCACTTTCTAAACTAGAAACCGTTCACGTTTTTTGCGCCGTTTCCACGTTCGTATTTGGTGAGTGCTATTTACGTCACTTTCAGCAGATGAATTTCAATTGAACTCAAACAGTGCATATATACCTAAGTGCATTCATAAATGCATCAATACGTATGAATGCACATCAGTAGTTATAAGAGCATTTTAAGACTTTCCTGAAATTTTTTTTTGAACAATCGCCACCAAGACCTATATAAAAGTCTTCACTACGTTCCTTACTCTAAAAAATCCAATCCCCTACATTTTTATAATAACTTATGATTTTGTATTTTGTCAAACAGGAATTTTTGGCCCATCGAAAATAAGTTGACTGAGCTGATACAACATAAGCCGAAATCGTGTAATCAAAAAAAATCTTACAAAAAAACACGAAATTAATCAAAATCAGATTTGGTAAAATTACGAAATACAGAACGTTCAATTATAGTATAAACATATTTAGAAACAAAAAAAACATGTTTCATAAATTAGTACGATAAATATTAGTATCATATAATATAAAAGCCATTTAAAAAACGGAAAATGAACCGACGGAAACTACGAATCCGAAAAAAAAATCACATTTTTTCAAAATATTTATTGGAAAAAAAATGAATGCCCGAAATTTCACCGATTCACCACCTAGAAGGGATAGTTTGAACTTTTTTTTAAATTGAGCAGGACTTGAAATTTACTATTCCTACTAAATTGCCCATTCTGTGAAAAAAGTTATTTACGGGAAAAAGTCTAGTACCCGATTGCAATACCCTTCCTTATCGCAATGGTAAGCAGGCTCAAATCATGGATGAAAATAATGCACCAACAGGCAAAACATCTTTTCAAGCTCTGTTGAAAAATGAGCTGAAACAAAAAACAATTGACATCTTTTATCAGCCGTTGTCATCTATTTTTTGCACAAAAAATTGGCCCTTAATATGAAAATCTTATCTTACTTTTCAATTACGTTGTATAATAAGGTCGCTAAAAAGAACCCGAAAACAGTTCAATATTTAAGTCGAAATCAATGTTCTCGAAAATGTCACAATTTTTGAGAGGCCACGAGAGTTAATCTGTTACATGAAATTCATTTAAAAAACATAGCCAGCATACCAATGGAATATTGTTTAAAAATTCAAATAGTTTTTATATTCGCTTATATTCGCACTTTTTCGCTAATTTATTCTATTTAGAGAAAACTGGATCAAAATTAATTTTTTTATTCAGCTGAGAATTCAGAAAATTAAAGGACAATTTTGAAACTAGAAGTCAAGCACGTCAAAAAAAACTATCAGAGCCTATATAAAAAAATCACCTCTTATATATATTTAAACACTCCAAATATTTGACATTCAGTGTATTTCTCATGAAACACCAATGTTTTTATTTTCGGCGTGGGAAGGAATTACGCCGCAAGGTGATTTTTCCGACGCATTTCTACTACCTCGAGGAAGTGTGCTATCCAAAAAATGTTGCATGTAAACTTTTATCAGGGGCGCAATAGCAGTTCTCCATAAAATGCTGAACAGCTGGTATGTCGGATTTTTCCCTCAACAAAATTAAGGACTTAGAATTTAACTCAATTTTTTTCTTTGTATTTGAAATAACGAAATTATTTCGTGTTTAGCACATTTTGTGCTACTTGCACAGCAACTGGCTCTCGTCTTTTAAATAAGGTATCGGTATTTCTTTTCATTTGTAAGTATTTTCTGCTAGAAACAATGAGGTAGTTGAGAATAGAGGGATGCAGCTAAGCTAAAAAATCCTTATGATTTTCCACATGCCGGGAAGAACCTATTAAAATGACAGAAATTTTCTAAGGAAGTAAACTTCGACACAGAGGCGAAGCTGTGCTTCGCAAACCCCTTCGAGATCACGACAAAAAAGCAGCTTCATAAAAAGAAATAAAAAAATAGCCACGAACTAGTAAAAACTTAGCCACGAACTAGTTAAACTTTGCTAAGTAGCGGATTTGAACCTGCGACCTCAAGATTTCGAGTCTCAGGCTCTGACCTCGCGACCACGAACGCTTAACAATCGGCAAACACTAGTCACAAATACAGCTGCTACAATTGCTAATTAACTGCCAATGTAATGCAGCAAAATTGGCACCAATTACATATAAACACAACTTTACAATACATAAATTGGAATATAACAAACTGAAGGCATCCACTCTAAATTTCCATGAAACAAATCGGAAAGCATAAAACCATATTATGTATAAATTATCCATTTCAAAAAACTTCGACATATATTGAGTCAGAAAATTTCTGAAATCGTGTTTTTATCATTGTTTTGTTGCTGTTTGAAACAAATAGCTTTTTCCGGTTCATTTGATGAAATAAACATAGCCAATCGAAGATTGAAAAAGAGTGATGAACGCAAGTAAACATGAAAAAAACTCTGACTTTCTTGAAAAAATCTCAAATTTCGAATTTCAAAGAAAAAATAGATGCCCTTTAAGCTCTTTGAATTACTAGAACAATTTATGATTGGCGCTTTTTCGATAAAATGAACCCAATTAGAGAAAACTGGATCAATAGGTAAAGTTTTCATTCCGCTGGATATCTAAAAATTTAATTCCACTTTCAAAACTAGAAATCGTTCACGTTTTTTCGCGTAATTTCCATGTTCGTATTTGGAGAGTGCTGTTTGCGTCACATTCAGCAGATGAACTTAAAAAGTGCATAGACACCTAAGTGCATTCATATATGCATCAATATTCGTAAATGCATCAATCGACTTTTCCTGAAAAAAAATCAGCAAGACCTATATAAGAGTCTTCATTACGTTCATTACTCTTAAAAATGCATCCACTGTGTTAATTTATTAATATTCGAACGTCAAAGCACATGCTATCAAAAAGCCATATGGAACCGTGTAAAAGGTATTGTTGTACAGAGCTCAAAAATAAAAAATAGCCTGCAGACAGTTGGGAAATTGACAATGATCAAGGAATCCAAAAACAACTATTAGTTTTTTTTGAACATTTCTGATTAAACAATATATCAAGTCATGGCTCTTTGAATTTCAAGAACGTTTTTGAATATCTGCATGCATAAATTTAATGTTATACCTCAGTGGATGCTATCTCACACATTTTTGATCAGTCCAAAACGAGGCGCAAAAACACCCAAATAAAAGCCCCTTTTAAAGCAAAAAATTAGAAAATTTGCAAAATGAAAAGTATTTATTTTCAAAAAATTTGAGGTAACATCTCTTCAGGTTATGAAGGATAAAATACGCTACTATTAATTAAGGATAAATAAATTCAGAGTACACTCCCTGGTTGTGCAACGAGAGAAGAGCGCTCGCTTAATTTTTTTCATTTTTTGAGATATTAAGAAGGTAAACTATACTTAAAAACCCCCATTACAGCAAAAATTCTATACAGCATTAGCCTTCTGGAGATGAGCAAAACTAATATATCCGCTCAATTATTGCAAGCTAATATATCTCATCGGATTCATCTATCGCACCAAGGAAATAAGTTAGAGCCTAAGTTGCTATTTTGGACTAATGAGTCACAGGAACTCATCCGGCTAAAAATAGATAGCCTTACAGGCAGGCGGTGTATAGTATCAGTGTATTCGAACGACGCAGATCCATTTAAAACGTTGAACTTGGAAACATTATGGAACACAACTTACTGCAGTGTGGTTCCCAGTCGCAGCCGATTTCTGATGATGATTCAGCAGTCGGGACACAACCTCTGCATGCTCATTCACACGATCAAACTCTGGCGAATTTTCCGGCATCTGACCTCGCTCTTCGTCAAGCCAGACCTTGTATTCCTTCAGTTTTTGCACCTGTTCAATTCTCAGAAGTTAATACGGAACAGTCAGATGTTGCAAATTATCTACGTGCTAGCTCAAATTAGGCCATGATATTTCGCACTCCGCTTGAGCAGTATGATAAAAAGTGCATTACAAAAAAAATAAAAGTGAGATACATCAAACTAAAGACTTTCGAGAATAACTAATACAAATTACAGAGGAAAATATCCACCCTTATCAAAATTTAATTTCTGCTGCAACTTAGTTTTAATCAATAAAACGAATTTTCAAACAACACTTATCTTAATAAGATAAATTTGACCGACACATTAGGTAAAATTGAGTTAATCAAGATTTGAAACCTACCGGAGTAAACATAAGCGACAGTAAACTGTGTTTTGATGATCCTCTAGCTGTTGTACACTCGCTACTGAATGAAGTATTGCACTGTAAAGCTTTGTTGACCAGTTTCTGATAAGTTACGAAATTTGATATGTAGGAGTAAAGAGTATGCCACAAATTCTTGTTCAGACAGTCGCCCAACAGCAGTGCCGAATGATTTGGCTGTTGTAACCCAATTTTGGTAAAAGCTTGAACGCCGCCCGAACGTCCAGAATTAGATGACGAATGTTGTGAGTCTCGTTTGTGTTCCGGTGATGGTTTGGGTGATGTTATAACCAGGTTATTGGGCACACTCGTTGACCTTGGAAACCCATTAACTAGAGGAACTTTTTTCGACACAGGTGAGGTAGCATTAGCTTGGGGGTTTAGTTTTCGACTTAGGGTTCCAGAATTCACATTCAACCCGGATGCGGTGCTATCCCTGCTCCTCGATTGGGCAAGATATTCCAGCTGAAACCACAATATTTACAAACTTAGCTATCTTGAAAAAGTGAAATAAATAAATGAATATAACTATATTGCAGAGCCCGCTCCACAATTGCGTAATAATGACTCAATTTAACCTCGTGAAATATGGATTGAGATTAAGTTTGTCGGCAGTTTTCCAAAGACTGTACACTGACTAAAATTCAACTTCTGAGGTATGTAAAGTCTACCATCAATCTGAAATACAAACTTTTTGCGCCATGAGCTTGACGAAGTGCTGTAGATTCAGCAGCCAACTTCTGAACATTTCCAACTGGTCGACAGAAAATACCGAATTCCGCCTGAAACGATCATTGATTTATATTTCTCGCGTGTGCCATTCAAGGGGCGCATTCAAGTTATTATAAAAATTACGAAAGCAATTATATAAGAAGAAAAAGTAAATCATTGAAGTCAAGGAGCTGCTAACAGCTACCCGCTATAGTACCCCTTGTTATAACCTACAAGTAACTTTAAGTCATTTTTTGAACTGAACGAGTTAACTGAAGCATGTAGCCCTCAAGGATTTTGATACGAGATACTAGACACTTTTCTTTCATCCCCTTCAACGCAGGAGTGGGTGAACTTAGATTGCAATCTCAAACACTGAGGCCAAGCAGAGCTTCGCAACATTTGCGACACAAAAAAAATGTGACCGAATCACAGCGTAAAAATTACTCACTACCGTAATTACCGTATAAACTTTTTAAAAAAATCAAAATGTAACAACAATAGGTATTCTATTCATTTTCTGACGCTGAAGATTCATAACAGCTCAATTAACAAACTGGCATGTTTTAAAAATTATTGCCACCTGGAAGAATCAAAATTTCAAAAAATTTTAAGAAGACGGTGTTCATTGCTTTTCTTGGAACGAAATTACTTGAACATAACCTGAAAACACTGAAACGAACTTCAATTATAGTAAAATTATCATAGATTTCTTCCGAGTTGTGGCAACTTAGCGATTTGATTAAGTTTGCGGTACGATAATTATAGTTGGGTCGCTTAAATTTTGATGGGTCCCTGAAGCAAAATTTTCGGCCTCCTTTACTTTTGTTATCGAATTTTTCACGGAAACATATCTTTCATACTTGCTTTTCCGGGGACCCAATTATAACAATTGTACCACACTTGCAAACCGTTATCGTAACCCAGAGGCGAAATGAAAAATGTTGAAAAAAAAACTAGGTCTACCAAATTTAAACTTTCGTATGTCTCAATAAAAGTTCATTCTAGGAAAACATGCCAGACATTTGAATACTAAATTAGCAACGGAACAAAAGTTACAAAGCGGAAATTAAACTGACAATCTTTGAGCAGACACAAGTTGAGCCGGAAATGATCCCCCCTGAAACTCCAATGAACAACACTTGCACTTGCAACTACAATGAAAGTGGCTTATAGCAGAAGCAAAATCTGTGATGTGACAACTAAGCCAACAAAACTTGAGCAGACAAACGAAAATCTGACAATTCAATTTTTACCAGAAAAAAATGTTCAATTGCATACATTCTGAAAAAAAAACGAGCCGGCCGGGAATGTTGTTTACGGGCAAACAATTCTAGTTCACAATGGTCTCGCAAGTGGAATAAAATCGGAGTTATTTAACTTACTCTAATATAGGGCAATATACTCCCAAAAGTGTGTCGAGGTGGCTGAGAAACCGTTTCTCCTTCTCAAGTTGGGACCGAACCAGCGACATTGAAGCACTACTAGAGCAGCTGGATGACACGTTTTTTGAAACACCTGAAATTTAATTGTTTCTCAAAGGAAAATAAATTACTAATTCCAGTTGTCAGAGCTTCAAAGTTTTCAGATAGTAAGGCAAACATTCTTTCGCTGAACTTACCTTGAAACTGCGTTGAGCTTCCTTCGGGTGTTGAGTCCTCCTTCAAACCTCTCGAATGTTCTGTGGACGCCGGCGGTTTGTTAAATGATTCAGTTCTCGTTTTCTCTCGCAGCAGAATAGTCGAGTGGACGTACTGTGCGGCGCTTTGGTTCAAATTTGTGATGGGCTTCTGAGTTGTGTTGTCAAATAAAGAAAACTTCTCCATGTTGTGTTGAAAAGCGACGTGCGCAACTGCGTCTAAGATTCTCATTCCATTGTAAACGGATACCTGGAATATAAATGAAGATTTATCACCGCCATGTCAACTAAATTCAATTACATGTGTATTTTGGGTATAAATATAAACCAAGTAGGGACTGGTTGGTTCTCTAATTGATCCGCCTGAGCTATACAATACACGCCTGAACCAATAATCATAGCTTTCAAATTATACTACCCCAATCAGGTGCAGATTGCATACCAATGCACTTTTTACTCCCTCTGGGAGATATTTTCAATTCTATTTGAGGCATATCTAACTTTTCTATGGTATGATGGCAAGGGTTAACTTTAATTGGAAAATTGATCTTTTTTCCAATATCAACTCTCTTGATATTTAAAAGGAAACAAAAATCAATTTCAACTGGATTCCATATTTTGTAGTTAATTGGCTGCAGCACAAAAATAAAACCTCCAGATAACAGCTTCCATGATAATGGTATTGGACACAATAATAACATGGACACAATAAGATTTATAAAATGAGAAAAGGGATTTCAAACTTACCTCGTGGTACGTTTTAGAGTCTGATGTCTCCGCTACTACTTGTAAAATGAGCACGTTGTGTTTCTGTTCTGACCGGATGGTAAGTTTTCTACCAAGTGTAAAACTGCCCATAGAGTGGGAAGATGGAATACTGCTTCTTTCGCCGCCTCTCATTTCCATAGATTGTTAAGTAACGCAAATGTCAACTACTTCACTCTCTTTTTCTCACGCACTCCTTAGAGATTTTAAGTTGGTATCAATTAGTAACTTCAGCTTTAATACCTGTCACACAAGTAATTAAACAGACCTGGGAAGAAGATAAGAAAAGGCACGAAGATAGGCAAGATCGATTAAACGATTTAGTCTTCCATTTTGATTAACTTCAGACGTCAAAACTGCCACGGTGCTGCTGATCATCCACATAAATAGCATCCCGTGAACAAACCATCATATCGGTATCATATGATGTAATGCAGTTAATTGTGACGCACCATCATACACAGCCTTGTCACACCTTCAACGACTCACCGTTCAAAGCGTTTCAAAAACTGCGCCGTATGTACAAAAGTCAATCTTGCGTATTTTAAAATTATATTTTAATTAAACGACGCATAATGAAACTTATAATTTGTACAAATATGCTTAAAATAGCGCTTTATGTACAAAACTGGCTACAGTTGATGACTTTTTAAACCTCTCAGAGCATGAAGTTTCTGAAAACAAAAATAAAAGAGATCACTCAAGCGAAAGCACTATACAGGTAGTTTGTTTTCAAAAACAAACATTTCAAATCATATTTCATTTCTTTGTTGTTCGAGATATCCATGCTCAAGATCAGGGGCGGATTTAGGGGGGGGCGGACGCCCCCCCCCCCCCCTCAGGGATTCGACCACCTGCCGACCCAAAGGGTCCCCCCTTTGATACTTTTTCAGAAATCCATTTTTGGCCGACCGACCCTAAAATTTTTCTAAAGGCGCCTTTGGCGCCAATATAAACTAACTTTGAGGGGGAGCGCGCGCCAAAAAAAACGCGATTTGAGTCAAGATATCCTTTCTTTTTTCAGTCGACAGCAAGGAGTCGCCGAATTCTGATGATGCATTTCATTCGCTGGATTGTTTTTTTGTTCACGCATTTTTTCACGACTAAACAAATTTTTACTTTGCAAAACTGTATTTTGAGCTGAACAAACTCAATCCAGTGCGCTAATTTAGTGGAGTTTATTCAAGTGAAAATTTGATTAATCGCTAGAAAATGTGTGAACAAGAAACCAACCAGCATTATGCAATGTATCGCCAGAATTCGGCGACTCTTTGCTGTTTACTGCAAAAACACTGGCGGCTTTTCAACGCCCCCCGTTCCACCACACCAACTACAAACATAATTTTTACGGCGTTATCATTGACTAATCGAAGTTGTGAACGAAGAAACACTGTGTTTGTACTTGGGTAATTTGTTCGTACCAATTTTCCAAGACAGTTACACCGCGTGAACAAGAATATAAACAATCGCCTGTGGGGAACGGTAGAAATGCCAGAAATGGACGGTTATCTTAAGTAACAGTACAATTACTCAGTAGTTTCTACTCAAAATTTGAACACATTGTTTAATCATGGATATGATATGACCACAAACCCTCCTCAACTTCATAATTGAGGATCGTTTCTAATCAGAATCCTTCCAAAATTAATTTGATTAGCTGCCACATCAATCAAAACTAATTCAATTAGAAATTTCAGGTTCAACACCAGCTCTCACATTTTTGTCTTTGAATGACATACACAGATTCCTTTCAAAATTGATTTGATAACCTGTCACATGAATCATAAAACTTATTCATTAAAAGTTTTCGGGTTCAACACTAGCTCACAATTTTTTTTACTTTTTGAACGAAAGCAGGAACTGCCGGAAGACGTTTCACAGAATGGATTAATCAATAGTCATTGCGACAAACTTAATTATACTGAAAAAATTAAAACACAGAGGCGAAGCTGAGCTTCGCACCACTTGCGATACAACATAAGCATAAAAAACATAAGTCGAAAAAAAAAAGTTTAAAAAAAACTGAAGAAACCATAACGTTCCTACACTCAATAAAAAAACGCTAGTTTTCCAGTAAAATTTGGAGGTAGCTGTTTGAATTTGTGGAGTTTGTTTGACTTGTGCTGGATGAATCGGGTACCTTCAAAAATTGGACTTCACCCGAAACCTTAGCTGCTTCTCTACTAAAATAAGTAAGAGTTAATTTTTTTTTTATTTTTATTTTCCCAAATACATAAAATTTTCCTCACAAAAAAATAAGGATTCGCCGCTTCTGGCGGAAAATTTCTCGTAACCTGTTCTTTCGATTGAACCCTTCAACTCAAATTTGAAAATCAAAAGTTTCTAAAAACGGTCAAAGTTCAAAAGTCGTGGCCGCTTAGACATCGCATATCATCAAAACCGAGTTTCTCGATTCAACCTGTAAACTTAACCTAAGAATTGGCAGGGTAGTTTTCGAGAAAAATTAAAAGTTTCCATAAAATGGTTTAAAAAAATCAAAAATTTGACTGTTCCGCGAATCAAACCTTTTTGTGTATAAATATTGGGGCGTAGCGGCTCTAGCAGAAGACAATCTCTTGATTCGATTGAACGATAAAACTCAAGATTTGAGATTTTCGTTTTCGAGGAAAGTCAAATAATTTCAAAAGATCTTACAAAAACCAATTATTGACTTCTACAAAGGCCATACTTTTTTGTGGAGAAAACTTGGGCGTAGTCGCTATGCAGGTGAGTTTCAAATAACGCGTTCTGTCCATTGAACCCAAAATCTCAGATCACTCCACAGACTTTTTCGAAGGCTATAGACAGTAGGGTATAGTACAAAGAGACAAAAGGATTATGCAGGCACACTGTGGAGTAAGCGCTCTTCTCAATGATACTCATTTTTTTGAAGTTCGGTAGAGTAGTTTTTTACAAAATAAAATTTTTTGTTGAAATGAGAAAAAAATTATCGAAAGCGTCTCAAAAAAGTAAAACAAAAAACCCAATCCCATTTATTTGCATACTACCTAAATTCGTCGAACGGGAATTTTTTGCCGTCAAAATTACAAAATATAAGTTGACCAAGCCAATGCCATCAGCATCAGCCGAAACCATTTAGTCGAAAAAAACCAAGGTATTCAAAATCAAACGTGGTAAAATGACAAATTACAAACTTTCAATTACAGAAAAAAAATTACAATCAAAACAAAATCCATGCTTTACAAATTAGGTTGAAAAAAAAGGCAGGGAGAAAAAATGACCACTGCCCCAAACGTACCCCAACTATCAACTTAACTACCTAGATGAGATTCTTTTATTTGAATTTTCAAGAAATTGAGCATGTCTTGAAACTTACCATTCCTAAATAGACCATTCTGTGACCAAAGTTAATTACGGGGAAAAAAGTCGCAACAGTAAAAACTAAACGATACTATATTTCGAAATCTCTTAGGTCTCCTAGTTTATACCTCAATTTGAATATTCACGTGCACAACTTAATGAGCATGATTTTAACAGCTGTTTTCAGAGGTTGATGTCTGAATATAGAAACTTGGTTGGCTCTAAAAGTGGAAAGGAAATAACACGTGCTCCAATTCCACTGAAGTCATTCTCTTACTAAGCATGAAAGTAACATTAAAATGCGCGATTAACAAAGTGCAACTAATCTCGCTCCAACCCAATGCCCGATGCAGCTAAAGAATCTCCAAGAGGCACGCCCACTCAAAAAAACCAAGCTGCAAAAGGGCCTCCAATTAACGTAGTAAACATTGGTGACAAAAACAAGGCAACTCCCCGATCTAAAAAACGAGTGGTATCGAAATCTCCACGAGCCAAATTGAGTAAGAAACTCAGATCGCCACGAGGAGGGTTGAGGAAAAAATTTCGATCACCGAGAACCAAATCACCCTCGCCACAAAACAAAAGAGGAAGATCACCCTCGCCACGCAGTAAGTCCAGGGCGAACCAAAAGAACATATCTAAGCCTCGAAAAAATTTTCGCTCACCAAAAGGAAAAGTAAAAATCGTCAGACACAGTCCAAAAAGAAGTCCGAGAGCTGCTGGTGGAAAAGTGAACAAAGGTCAGAAACAACTTCAGGGTCAGAAACAAGCTGCCAATCAAAGGCCTACCAAAAGCGGAACTCATTTCGAATATTACATTGACGGGAAGCCAACGAACGATCCCCAAGTGAACAAGTTCTTATCGGGTCTCTTTGCGAAGCAGTACAGCACCAAAACAGAAGCACCAAACGCTCAAAATCAGAAAAAAGTTGGGTCAAAGTTCGAACCACCACGAATCCAGACGCACAAAGGGCATCCTCAACAGTTTACCCAGATTTTTGTACCCGAAGGTCAGAACGCTCTTATTAAACAGCCGGAGGACTTCCGCATTAACGAAATGAACCCTCAAGCGAAATCTCCTTACATTGTGTTCAACAATAACATAGAAAATCATGGACACCTCGTACTAAATCAGGCGCAGGGTCAGAGGTTAGTTTTGAAAATGCGATTAAACAAGTCAGCATTTGTCCTCCCGAATCTATATTTATTAAAATTTAGATTTTTGGCTCCTTTCAAAATTTATTTTCTTTTTAGATCCGTGAAAAAAGTAGTTCACTGTGCAAAGTTAAACAAAATTCACTGAGAGTTGAATGAGTTTTTCAAAATGGGGCCATTCCCTTAACTATTGATCTCAATCCAGATGATCCAATGCCGAAAGATTCCAGCAGCCCAAATTTGCTATTTTCCAGGAAAAGCAAATTCTTAAGCACGAGTAAGCGCAACAATTCGCAATACATAAAAAAAAACGTTGAATCCAGGGGCGGATTTAGGGGGGGGGCGGATGCCCCCCTCAGGGATTCGACCCCCTGCCGATCCAAAGGGTCCTACCTTTAATACTTTTTCAGAGACTTTGGCGCCAATATATACTAATTTTGAGGGGGAGCGCGCGCCAAAAAAAAACGCGATTTTTTTGTCAAAATTTTTCAAAAAGTGCCCAAAACGACTTTTTTTACTGTTTTTTCAAAAATTTGCCTGCGGCGCAGAAAATTTAGCCAAAATAGGGGCAAAACAGTGCTTTGGGAGAGCTCGAAAAATCAATTTGGTCGACCTAAAAAATAAAAAAAAGGTCGTCAGAATTTTTTTTTGAAAATCCGCCCCCGCCCTCGAGAAAATCCTAGATCCGCCCCTGGTTGAATCACGTTAAAACCCCCACATATAAATTTCAGGAAATACATTAACACTAAGTATTTCTGAAAAAAATATTCATTTTTTCCCATCTTACAAAATTGTTTCCGAAAACTACAAAAACAGAGCCCATTATAGTGAGCAAAACAGGCTCGTTTTTTACACCCCCATCTTTCAAATTTTCTAGTTGTTTTTTGGGTGATTATGGCTAAACGCGTAATGGTACAAAAATGATGTTCACTTTGACAAAAACACACGTCCAGAAACACAAGATCTGGCGTTTAAAAAGTATTCAGACACAATAATTGAGCGGCAACTGAGATTTTGAAAGTTCTGAAAATTAAACTTTTACGCCCCCCTTCAGGAAACACAAACATTAACAAAAGCTTACTTACAGAAAATCACTTGCATAAAAATATTTGAAACACAACAAAAACCCGTAACAAAACAACTTAACCGATCAAACCTTAGCAGACACAAGATGACTGCAATTTTTGAAACGCA